CTTGGAGACTCTGGGTGCGCTCACAGTTCCGAGCCGCCCCCCTCCACCTCCAATCTCACTCTCACCACTCCCCCCTGGTTCGTCACCCTCCCCCTCGCCCTCTTCTTCTCACTCTGAGATCCTGGCCCGCCCTTCTCCCCACCCACCCATCCCTCTTCCGCGTCCCAGGCCCACTCACCCGTTCCCCCCCTTCCTCTCCCACTGTTCCCCTCTTCCCACTGCCACCTCCCTCTCCACTTCTGCCCATCTCCCTCCCACTCCTTCTCCCTCCTCCTCCTCCTCCTCCTCCTCCTCCTCCTCCTCCTCCTCCTCCTCCGCCTCCTCCTCCTCCTCCTCCTCCTCCTCCTCCCCTCCCCCTCCCCCTCCCCCTCCCCCTCCCCCTGCTCCTCCTCCTCCTCCTCCTGCTCCCCTCCCTCCTCTCCTCCTCCTCCTCCTCCTCCTCACTCCTCCTCCTCCTCCTGCTCCTCCTGCTCCTCCTCCTTCTCCTCCTCCTCCTCCTCCTCCTCCTCCTCCTTCCTCCTCCTCCTCCTCCTCCTCCTCCTCCTCTCCTCCTCCTCCCCTCCTCCTCCTCCTCCTCCTCCTCCTCCTCCCTCCTCCTCCTCCTCCTCCTCCCTCCTCCTCCTCCTCCTCCTCCTCCTCCTCCTCCTCCTCCCCCTCCTCCTCCTCCTCCTCCTCCTCCTCCTCCACTGTCTCCTCACTGACTCACAACAGAGCAAGTAACATCGCATCATACAACACCATCACATCATCAGGGAGTCGGCCATGGAACTCGTAGTCTTCGAGGGGATTTGCAGCAGACGCCAGAGCAGGGCCATTCGCTGATCGCCTTGGGAGGGTTCGGGTTCTCGCCAACCTCCGGGACAAGCGCTCCGAAGTCTCGTCCGTCAACGGCCCTGTTCGAGCGGTGCCCCCTCTCGCGCGGCACTCGTGGCGCCAAGCCGGCTCCGCTCCGCTCGGCCCGGCCACTCCTCCGAGCCTGGAGCGGGGGCCGGCCCGCAGACAGCAGGGCGCCAACCATACACCCACACCAATCCTGGCCAGGCTCGTCCTGGGCCCAAGGTCCTGGGTCGCCGAACTTCGCCCACCGCGCCCCGCCGCGATGCGCGACGCCGCCCCCCTGAAGAAGGGCACGCTGGCACACTCTCTGGCCCAGGCCGCTACGCGCAAGGCGCGGTTACCTTGGCACTCCTGCGGGCGACCTGGGGATCGGTGTACACGCCCTCCTCGCTGAGGCGGGACCCAGACCCCCCCGACGTCATGCGTTTTCTCGCAGCGTAGACCCCTGGAGGCCTGGACCCCGTCCCCAGGGCCAGCTCCGGGCGAGCGAGAAATCTCCCGCCCTGATCTTTCCACGACGCGAGGAAAGCGCTTTTTTACTCGCGTCGATCACGGGCGTTGTGGGGGGGGGAAGGGGAGGGCGGGGGACGCATAACGTGACGCATCTCGTTTCGAACAAAATCACGACGAGAGGTTTGTGGCGAGCTTCGGCCTCTGGGGGCCCTCGCTGGGACCCTGGAACCCGGACCGTCAAAACACGGCTCGGGAAGAAAAACTCGTCAGGAGGGGGGAAAGGCTCTAGACCTCCGGGGGTCCGCGCCGCAACAGAATCACAACGTCGGAGGTGTGGGGAGGTGCAGGGCCGGTAACGGACCCCCACCCGCCCCGGAGACCATGCGGGGGCCATCAAGTCAACGAGTCTGGGGCTGGGGACAGCTCCCAGGGCCCTTCCGTGCGAGAGACGTACAGAAACCTTACGGGCCAGCTGTTCAGGAAGCGAGACACTTCCTTGAACAGTTCCTTTCCTTGAACGGTTGCACCCTTCCTTTCCAAGACAGTTCCTCCTTGAACGGTTGCATCCTTCCTTCCCTGCCTTGAACGGCGCTACGCCGTGATCCAAGACAGCTCCTTTCCTTGAACGGATGCACCCTGTAACGCTTGCCCCCCACCTGAGCCTTCTGTTTGGCTGCATAGGGACAGCCTGAATTGGGGCATTCTTGGGCTACTGGGGCTTCTCGGGGGGCATCTCGGGGCCACCTTCAGGCCATATCGGGCAATATTGGGGCGATCTTGGGGCCGCTGAGGTGGGGGGGGCATCTTGGGGCCATCTTGGGGCTGGCCATCTGGGGTGATCTGCTCGGCACCTTGTGGCAGTTCTGTTGTCGATGTAATTTCTCAACAGATATGCAGAATATGGCCGAAGTCCGCAAGCCAAGGGTAGTTTTGGATCGTCCACCGGCTGAAACTGCGGCAGCAAAACAGAAGCCGATCACGACAGGATAAATCATAATGACACGGCGCGGGTGTATCGTGTATCCAACAGAATGTTGCCATACACGTCAACCGTATACCAAGGGTATCAATGGATGGTCCACAGGCTTGAATTGCGGCACATCATAAAACCAATCACGAAACGATAGTTCATCCTCCATGTGGAACGGCCTATCTGCTCGCCCACGACCGTCGCCTTTCAAATCTGGCAACGGCATTGCATTTGCCGACACATACGAGAAAGCAAGCGCGTTTCGTGCTCCAAGAGCTGCATTTTGCTTGTGTGCTTTATGCATCGTCCACCCGTGGTGCGCAGTGCAATCTCCGACGTCGAGCTCGAGCGCCATCTCGGTGACAAAACGCTCTGCTAACAGACCATCCCAACTGGCGGGTGGGCCATACCAATACTGCATAGCCAAGTCGCGGTGCGATCCAGCGGAAAACATGAGCACGGAATCTTTTCTGCTGTCTAGCCGGCGTCCGATGGGGCACCAGAAAGTGACGTAACCACCAGACTTCACATCAAGAGGCACCAGCACTAAATCCATATGCCATCCCGTCGCCTTGTTGAGTAAAGACGCGTCTTTCGTGAACATAGCTGTCTGGTAAAGGCGCACGCGGGGATACTGCAGCAACTGCGAGGCGATATGACCTAAATGAGAACTTTTAGCTATGCCAGACAGAAATTCGGAATGCCGATGCAGGTTCAATGCCTGGAAATATGGCAGCAGCACTTTTGAGTACCGAATATGCCCATGTACCTGAGCACCAGCCGTCACACCTTTAACCTCCGAATGTGTATTACATTTTTTCTTGTTGACGTAATCGACGCAACAATTCAGATTGTCAAAAGAACTGTGTATGGCCGCGTCTGCGACAGACGGGTTGCTACAAGACTCCGTATCAATGACCCCGCACACTTCCACTATACTCTTGTCTGAACAGTTGACCGCGTAAACCTTCCAGACGAAATCTAAGGAATAATTCACATACGTCTGCATCGTCTTAGCCAAGGCACGCTGGGACTGCTCTTCTGTGTCTACTGACCGCAGCTCTGGCAAGATGTCATTCATTATCACCCAGCCCTTCGCAAGAAACTGAATGATCTTCTCATGTGAGATCGATGAGGCCGCTTCATGGCGCACGGCTCGCGCGGCTGGTTTCGCAACTGGCACTGCGAATTCAAAGAGGGGGGCAGCATCGAACGTGTCGTCAGAATTCGCATCACGCACCGAGGCCGATTCCCATCCAGCCCAAACGACGCGCCAACAAAGAACCGATGCAAATGTGCAGGAACGAAGCATGGCTTCCAAGCCTTTCAGGCCAGCTGAGCCGAATCTCCTGGTCTGATTGAGCCAAACTGGTTACGGGAGACGCATTGAAGCCTTTGGGGGTCATCTTGAAGCCGTCTGGGGCAACTCCAGTGGCTCTGGGGCCGCATTGAGATGAGACTGGAACATCTCAGTTCAATACATGGGCTCACTGTTTCTTCAGTCCCCAAACTGCTTGTCAGGATGGGTCCTCTAGGAGTCTCACGAGAAGGGCCGGCGGGGGGGCCGTCCCCAGCCACGCACGCGGTGACTTGACATGGTTTCCTGCATGGTATCCCTTCTGGTCTCCTGGACGGGAGCCGTGGCCGGGCCGGGGGAAGCAGTGGTTTCCTGGCCTCCCGTGTGGTATCCCGCACGGTCTCCCCGTACGCTCTCCCCGTGCGGTCTGTCTCCCCGTAAGGTCTCCCGTATGGTATGTCTTGCGTGGTCGCCCGTGTGCTCTGCGGTGTGCTCTCCCGTGCGCTCCGGTATAATCTCCCGCATGCTCTCCCATCGGATGCCCCGTATGGTCTCCCGTATGGTCTCTTGTATGTACCGCATCGTGGTCCCTTTTCCTAAAGAGGGTAACGAACAAGGGCATAAACGTAATAACTCGGAGGTCCGCGCTGATTTCTCGGATCGTCGCTGGGGCCCCCCGCCTGGCGGCGCCTTCGGCGCCGCCCCTGGCGCGCGGAGCGCCCCAGGGAGGGGGGCCCAGCGCCGATCCAAGAAATCTGCGCGGACCTGAGAGCTTTTTTTGTTTATGCCATTGCTTGTTCCCCTCGCATCGTGGCCCCTTCCCCTGAACAGTGCACGCACTCAGTCTCCCTGAAGAGTACGGCGAGGTTTTGCCACGTTGCCGCCGGATGCAGCTCGCGCTGCCGCCTCGTGAGCTGGGTGGGTCCGGCGAGGTCTTGCCGCGTTGCCGCCCGTTGCCGCCTCGTTGCCGCCGCGTGCGCTGGGTGGATCTGGCGACGTTTCGCCACGTCGGCGGCCGTTGCCGCCTCGTTGCCGCCTCTAGCTTGCACAGCGTAGATTCTCTTTTCAAGAGAAAGATAGACTCCACCACCACCACCACCACCACCCCTGGGGTTAACAGACCCCCCTGGGACACTGCAACTTACGTGTGGTTCTGCCTCAACATGAATCTTCCATGTGCAATCATACCATTCCAGGCCAACTGGTACCGACAATCCCCCTTCACCCCTGTCACATGATACCATGCGCGCACACCCGCTTTATATATATAATATAAAAAATGCACGAAGTCTGAGCGCGTGCACGAAGTCTACATGCAGGCAGCTCAACAGACAAAGCATCAAAAACCCGTCAATCGCACCAGCCCTGTGGGAGAAGGTGGTCTAACGAATTCTTCATTTCCTCTTTCGAAAACCCTCGTCCCTTCGGGGAGGGATACCCTCC